GTAAATTAAATCTCCAAAATTACTCACAACCACCCCAATTTTTACGGAGAAGTGTCTCCCGGTTCCCCACTGCACACTTGTTTTTCCTCATCTAGACTTTTCGTGTTGTTATACTCCTACCACCCACCGAGTGAAATCTCAGGCTTGGGAAGTGTGTCTCTCAGACAGGAGTTTCTGAAGTGATTAATTGATTAGGAGAGAGTTGAAATTCTGGCTGGAAAAAAAAAATGTGAAGAAACACCTCACTAGCTCAGTTGTTTTGAGAACTGAGGTTAAGGGCGATTATATATATATATATATATATATATATATATATATATATATATATATTCTATAGACTTATATGTCTATGTGTGTACAGCTGTGTGTTTTCTCTAATCAGGGAGTTCCAGATAACTGTCTTTATGTCCCACTTGGCTTTGCAATGGATTGACACAATTTAAGATTCCTTGTCCCTTTAGGCTGCCTGAAGGTCACCAGCACTTCCACCATCTCCCACCCTTTGGCACTATAAGGTGCTGCCACTTGTCCTTGGGTTTTTCACCCACTTTGGAGGTTGGTTTAGGTCCTTCGTGGTGTGTATTTGTCCGGATGAAAGTTCTATTAGTCAAGCAGAGCCACCTGAGCTTAAATCAGAATTCTGCGGGTTTAATGAGAGATGTGTTTAGAAATCTGTCTGGCTCTGTGGAGCTTCTCGTCTCTCCCAAGCAAAGAGTTTGGACAAACACCCTGAGCTCGCACCAAAAATTGAGTGCTCACTGTGATGGGGGATCTCTCCTTCTTTGATGTAATGGGGGTTTCTTTGTGAAATGAGGCCTTAGGGGCACGGTAGTGTGGGGATCGCAGCTCTGCTAAGGTTTAGAAGAAGAAACTGGAATATGATTAGTAAACACATTGGGCAGAAAAGAGCTGCATTCATATTGACTTAGTTACAGGTCATCGGCTGCCAGTTCAAGGGGAGGAAATATTTACTTTACACATATACTTTATGATCTTGGGGGAATTAGAGGAAATTCAATAAGAAAATGGCTGGAAACATCTAAAACCCTTATTTAAAAGACTTAAGCAAATTAAAGTCTTATCAGATTAAAACCCACTACAAATGTAAGAGCATTGTCTTCAGCGAAACGCTGTGGGGTCTGAGGAGATTCTCCTCCAAATCTCAGGGATAAAATGCGTCATTTAAGCACCAGATAATGAACAGAATGTAAATTAATTTAACCTTCTTTACCAACAGGCTGCCGGTGTAATATGTATAATTTAGCGATATGATTGCAGGACCTAATATGGCTGGAAGTATGAACCTCAACCAATGCAGACCTGTCAGAGGGGGGATGTATTCTGCTCTGGGTAGGTGTGTGTATACTTGGAATGGGGGTGAACTGGGATAAAAGGTTAAAATTAGAAATGCTGACTTAAAGCTTACTATGAAGCAAGTTCCCCCCTTATGGCTGAATTCTTCTTAAAGTGGGATGGTACTTGTGTGGAGAGAGACTAAGTCTGGAGAACAATTCTCCTACGGTTCCTCTGACTGCTCTCAAGCATGTTTAAAATGGGGGAGGAGTTGCAGATAGGGTTTGGGGTGGGGAGCAGGGCAAAGGGGAGACACATAGGATACAAACATGTTTGTAGTCCGTTTCATCTACTCTGCCCCAGACCGAATACGTTTCCCAATCTTGTGAACAAGGACAAGGAGGGGATTTTCTGGAGATACCCCATACTGATGTTGCAAATCATTGACTGTAACGTCAAACAAATACACAGCCAGGGATGATAACACTAACTCCACAATAAAGCAATCGCCCATGCAGAGCCCAGGGGAGATTAGTCTGTGCTCTCCAGCTGACCCAAGCCAGAGGACAAAGGGACTTTCAAAAAAAATTATTTTAAATAATGTTTGGCTTTCTTTCTCTAACTTCCGTGGAAATTAAATTGATGTGGAAATAGTGCTACAAAGGGTTGGATGTCGCCAAAGGTGTTCTATTTCCTTTGTTTATATAAATGAATAAGGCTTTGCCTTTCCTGGCCCAGGGTTCTCCTACGCTTGTGTCCTTTGCTCAAACCCTACCGCCTCTGCCTGCTTGGACTTTAACAATTCAAGACAGCCTTGAGCTTCCTAGGGGGAAAAAGAAGACAAAAATTATCCTTGAAATTGGTTATTTGGCAACATTCTTAATTGTATGGAAACTCATTAAAGCATAGTTTATATATAATTAGCTCAAGGCTGTTGATTCTACAAGCTTTATGGATTTCAATCTGATTGATAATAAAGTAAACACAAGAGTCGAATTTAAAGCTCGGCTCTCTCTCTGGTTAGGACGAGCTTAATACAGTGTACGAGGAATTTGAAAGATCTAGGATATGTGTCTTAATCAACGCTAAGTAGAATGGATAAGCTTTCAGCATTTTGAAAATGCTGGGCTAGGGTTTCTATTCTATTGTGTGTTTTCTGTCTGGGGACTAATAAGCATTACAGAGAACGTGATCTGAGGCGACTTTTTATTCTTGTATAAATCCAGAGTGAAACACCAAACAGTTGTTCGTTGAAAGTCAAGGTAATTTTCTCTTGACGGGTCCATTTGCTTCTCGATTTCTAATTTATTAGCCTGCCTTCTAAGGGATATGTCTTTTTTTTTTTTTTCAATTAATGAAAAAAAAAAAAAAACAAAGCTTCTTCAGATTAGCGCAGCATTCGCCTGACAGGCTGTTTGGGAAAATCTAAGATCGGACAAGTGATCTGTGGGTGTTTTTTTAAAAAATATTTCTGGTTTTCAGTAGCATGTCTCCTTTCCATACAGGAGAAGAAAAACACCTCTGGAGTGAAAATGGCTATAAGTGAGACATATAAGAAAGGGGGCAGGGGGTACCTTGTTGACCCGTGTACCTTCCAGCTCCTTTCTCCCCGAGCCTTTTTTCTCCCACCTCATCCTTTCACCTCTCCGCCCTCCCCGAACAAAAAGCCGATCGCGCTCAGTCGGGCTGGAGCCAGCGGGTGTAGACTCTGCGGGCGCAGGGAGGTAGTGGCCCAGCCCACTGAGCTGATAGGTGCAAGCAGCGCGGTCCCTCCGCCCGCAGCTCGGGGCCTCCTGATTGGGCCAGAGCCACGTCACTCCGGCCACCAGAAGGGTCTGGGAGGAGGCGGAGGGAGGCGGGAGGGCCGTGGCCAAATGACGTCTCGGCACCAGGAAGCCCGCCTCTGGTTTTTAAGATGTTAGGCCAACAGGGAAGCGGGGAGCCGCAGTGCCGGTCCTCCGCTGGCCCAGGTGCCGGGAGCTGAGCTGAGCTGAGCTGAGCTGAGTTGAGCTGCGGCGAGGCCCGGCTCCAGCCCCACGATCCGCGGGGCCGTGCGTGTGCCCGACGCGGAGGGAGCGCCCGGAGGCTCCGCCGCCGCCGCCGCCGCCGGGATCCGATGTCAGCTACCTGTCCCTGTCACTCTTGACACTTCGCTGTCAGGGCTGCGCGCGGGGGGCGGGCGGAGCGCGCCCGGCGTTGGCCGTCCCCATTGGAGGGGTCCTCGGGAGAGGGAGGGGGCGAGGAAGGAAAGGGGTCTTCGCCCACTCTCGTTTCGCTTTGGAACTTGCAAGCCTGCTGCTCCCCCAAAGACGCCCGGAGCCCGGGAGCCCCGGAGCCGTACCCTCCCGACCGACCTCGTTCGCATGGCTCCGCTCGCCCGCTGACATTCGGCCGCTGGAACCTCTCGCTTAAAAAAACCTTTCCGAAGAAGACCGGGCGGCGAGGCTGGAGCGCGCCGCGGGGGTTGTGTTTCCCGGCTGTGCCCGCGGCGGACCCCACGGGGACGCCCCGCGCCCCGAGCTCAGCGCAGCCCGGGCCGGGCAGGGCGGCGCGCTCCTCCGCCCATGAGCTGCATGAGAGGCCCGCTGCACTTGGAGCCCCGAGCAGCAGGGACCAAGCGGCCGGCAGCCCCCGCGTCCTCCGCCTGCCCCCATCCCCAGCTCCAGGCGATGGCTTCGGTCCTAGCCCCCGGCCAGACCCGCGCCCTGGACTCCGCCAAGCACAGGCTGGAGGTGCACACCATCTCCGACACCTCCAGCCCCGAGGCCGCAGGTAAGGAGCCGCGCGGCCCCCGCGGTACCCCCGCCCGGCCGCCCCGCGTCGCTCGACCTCTCTGGCCCGCGAGCAAGAAGGGCCCTGCCAGGGGGGAAGGCGGTGGTGGGAGTGGTCCTGCAGCTGGCCGTCCGCACGACTTCCCGTCCCTTTCGCTCTACCTCCACCGCCCGGCTGGGGTGGCGCGAACGGCGCGAGTCTCTCGGCCTCCCTCCCTATGCCTACCCCGGCCTCCTTTCTGTCGCTTGGGTCACAAAAAATGACAGCATCTGCACCCGAGGGGGCGCAGAGACTGCACCCCATCTCCCACCCGGGCCACGTTCTCCTCTCGGCTTTCAGCTCCCAAGAAGCTCCACTTGTTCACAATGTATCTCTGAAACTATGTCTCAGAAGAAGAGATCTTAAAAAAAAAAAAAAAAAAAAAAAAGCGTGCCAGACCGAATCCCAAAGTCCGCTTCTCTAGCCTTCCCAAACCTCTTGGGAAGCCGGGGTGTCTCTGTACAGAAAGCCGGGGTGTCTCTGTACAGAAAGCCGGGATGTCTCTGTACCACGCGCGCGGGCGCGTGTCCCGGGAGGTTTCGGTGTGTCTGCGCAGAGGCGTAGACACGGGCTCGAAAGGACGGGCAATAAAAATGAATGTGTCGCGGTCGCAGGCAAGATAAACATGTAAATAAAACGTACGGCGCCGCCGGCGGCGGGGGGGGGGGGGTTGTGATGGGGAAAGAAGGGAGGAGATGGGGCGCGCACACCCACACTCGCACCGGCACCCCCCAGACGCCAGTGCTCCGCGCCACGCGAGCGAGCGGCCGGTCCCACACTCCTCCCCGCCGCCTCCCCGCTCTCCCCGGCCAGGACCCCCCTCTCTTCCCGGGAGTTCCCCGGTGGCCGGTGGTGGGCACGCTGATGGGAACCGCTGTGCGTTGTTTCGCTTTCAGAGAAGGACAAGAGCCAGCAGGGGAAGAATGAGGACGTGGGCGCCGAAGACCCGTCCAAGAAGAAGCGGCAGCGGCGGCAGCGGACTCACTTCACCAGCCAGCAGCTGCAGGAGCTGGAGGCCACGTTCCAGAGGAACCGCTACCCGGACATGTCCACACGCGAAGAGATCGCCGTGTGGACCAACCTCACGGAAGCCCGAGTCCGGGTAGGAGCGCGGGTGGAGCAGGGGAGGGAGGGAGGGCTAGGTGGCGGGGGAGCGCCGCGGAGGCGCAGGCCGTGGAGACCCGGAGGGAGCAACGGGAGGCGGCGCCGCGCCCCGGAGGCTGCGGGTGGGGTGTCTTTGCAAAAGCAAAAGGCCTCTCGCCGCCGGCCCAGTCGCGAGGTACCGGCCCAGTCGCGAGGTTACAGCTCCCCCATCCGAGGCTCTGCCGAGGGCCCCCGTTGGGGCCCGGAGTGGCACGGACTCGCTGCTACTACGCCGCCCAGCGCCCTACCAAACTGGGCCACATGGCATTCATTCCCTTGCACAGGGTATTGTGTTCCTGGCTTGCAGTCGCCGGGCGAGCGCTCATAAAATCCCTCCCAGGCTAGGAGCTGAAAACAGGCTCCAACCTGTGCGCCTTTAACAAGGAAAACCAGCCAGAAACACGCAAGGGAAACTTTCCCGCCGGGCCTGGCCCAGCCCTTTCTCTAGGCGTCTCGTACTCCATACAAGGTCTCTGCGGGGGGTTTGGGGCCATTCAGGTCTCTCTCACCCCGACTCCCTGGTTTTGTGATCTCCGGAAGCCATTTTAATACCCAAGCTACTATCCTGCTAATCGGTCCTCTTAGAAAGAAAAAGAAAAAGATTTTTCAGTTTGGTTTATTTATCTTTTTCTCAGATTGTTGCACCCTTCCCTCCAGTTAAAATAGTTTTATCAAAGAAAAGGCTTACCTTTGTGTAGCAAATCTGTGCATTATGGATGGGCAAAAAAAAAAAAAAAAAGAACTTTAAATCAGTTACCCAGTAGCAGCAGCATCCTGGTTTATGCTTGTCGGTGCAAAACTCCAAAATGGATAGGATTCTGGAAACAGAAAAATACACAAAGGATCCAGAGGCTTTACTGAAGAAAAAAAAAAGAACAACAAAAATAAAAAGCCCTGGATAGAAAAACAGAGACCCCAGCTAGAACAGAGATGGAAAGATTTTAAGGCCAAAAATCACTCCCAGAGCAGAGGGAATGAAGAAGACACTGTCCGGGTGGCACTGTGTAAGGCGTGAGGCGAGGCTGGTAGTAAAAGAACCGGGATGAGGTTGGAAATGGTTTTAAGTTTAACTGCACGGAGCCAGCGCTCCGCGGGCCTGCCTGGCTCTGCGAAAGGTCAGTCTCTCATTAGCTCTCCCGAGCAGCGGGGGAACGGGCCTCTCACGTACGCTTCTTGCCTGGGCAAAGTTTAGGTGGCGTAAGGGGAGAAATGGCAAGTCGTTAAAATAAAAACACAATCTGTGGATACTGTGGAATCCTTCAGGAAAACCCTCCCACAACCCCCTGGCTTCCCTGCAGTCCCTCCCCAGGGCCCTGCTTGCCGCCCCGCAGAGTCCCTCGCTCCCTCTCGCTACCTCTACCCAAGCCCAGGGCTGGTCCAGCCAAGTGGGAGTGAGGCGTGCTTTTTATAGCAGTCGGGTGCAAAAGAGAGGAAGGGGGACACAAAAGGAAATCAAGAATGAAAGGGGAAAAGGGGGGAGAGAAAAAAGCGGATTAGCCCCGGCTGGGCCCGGCTGAGAGATGTGTAATGTGAAACATCACTGGTGTCAACTCCGAAATCTCTGGCCAGGCCTCTCTCCAATACACAAAAGCCGCCGTCTGGGGCGACTGGCGGGTCCAATGTGGATTGAGAGTGGGGTTGTGGCTGGGCCATCAGTCGCGGGTAAGGGGTTGGCTGGGCTGGAGGGGGCCTCCTGCAAAGCCCAGACCCGTCTGGGCCCAGGAGGAGAGCGAGGGGGCACGGGCCTGGCCTGAGATGGGAGGAGTAAGAAAGAGAGCAGAGTGAGTGGGGGGCTGCAGAGTGACCCGTTCTGGGGTTGGGAGTTTATGCACGCTGAATTCCTTGAGTTTACGGAGCTGTTGGGGTTTCACTTGGTTATTTTGCTAGGCGAGGCAGGGGGTTGCGGCCCGGCGTTTGCCCAGGGGAAGGTGCAGGTTCCCCTGGAGTGGAAGGGGGCAGTGGAGACCCCAGAGGGAAGGGAGGGGCTGTGTGGGGGAGCGGGCTCTGGTGCCCTGTCAGTCCCTGGTGCTCTCCACGGAGTGTGTGGCTTTGGAATGGAAGCAAGTTTGCAAGGTGGCCAGGGAAAGGCGAGGGGCGGGAGGAGCCTGCTGGCCCGCGTTTATTTTTGCAGGGAGTGTTTTTGGATCCCAAGCAGGGCCGGGGTTAGAGAAGAAGCTGCCACAGGCCACCAAGCATTCGGCTGGGGTTTGTGGCGAAGCTCAGAGCCCTGCCTCGCAGGCCTGAGCCACCAGTGCTTTCCTTCCTCCTTTGGTCTGGGCTCCAGACCACGGGGGTGTGGGGCGCCGGGGGTGCGGAGAACGGTGACGACCAGGGCTTGGTGTCAGAGAAGAGGCGGCCCCTGGTGCTCTCGGGGATTGAGGTTTGACTTATCCGACCTGTGGCGTCTTATTTGCTCCCTGCCCTCCCCTTTCCCCCCTCCCCACCCCATCCCACCCCACCCCAGGTTTGGTTCAAGAACCGCCGGGCCAAATGGAGAAAGCGGGAGCGCAACCAGCAAGCCGAGCTGTGCAAGAACGGCTTCGGGCCGCAGTTCAACGGGCTCATGCAGCCCTACGACGACATGTACCCGGGCTACTCGTACAACAACTGGGCGGCCAAGGGCCTCACGTCCGCCTCGCTGTCCACCAAGAGCTTCCCCTTCTTCAACTCGATGAACGTCAACCCCCTGTCGTCGCAGAGCATGTTCTCCCCGCCCAGCTCCATCTCCTCCATGAGCATGTCGTCCAGCATGGTGCCCTCGGCGGTGGCCGGCGTCCCGGGCTCCGGCCTCAACAGCCTCAACAACCTCAACAACCTGAGCAGCCCGTCGCTCAACTCGGCCGTGCCCACCCCCGCCTGCCCCTATGCGCCGCCGACCCCGCCGTATGTTTACCGGGACACGTGTAACTCGAGCCTGGCCAGCCTGAGACTGAAAGCCAAGCAGCACTCCAGCTTCGGCTACGCCAGCGTGCAGACCCCGGCGTCCAACCTGAGCGCCTGCCAGTACGCGGTGGACCGGCCGGTGTGAGCCGCACCCGCCCGCCGGGATCCTAGCGCCGTGCCAGGCGGGAGGGCCCCTTCTGCCCCCCGGAGAGACTGGGAGTTACTGCTAGAAGGTCGTGGGCACTCAAGGAAGGGACAGAAGGAGGAGGGAGAGGAAAAGGAAACCACTGAATGAAAGAGAGGGAGCTCCCTCGATTTCAAAAGGAATTGCCTCGGTGTCTTGACATCTTTCCCTAAAAAGTTATTTCCAAAAGTTGCAAAGGACGCGCTCTCGGAGGTTTGACTGGATAGGACCTTTTAACATAACGATAAGCTTGTTATTTTTTAAGTTTAGCCTTGTTAACATTAAAAAAAATGACGGAAAGGATGTATATATATCGAAATGTCAAATTAATTTTATAAAAAGCAGTTGTTAGGAATATCGCAACAGTGTTTTTAAAAGGTTAGGCTTTAAAATAAAGCATGTTATGCAGAAGCGATTAGGATTTTTTTCGCTCTCGAGCAAAGGAATGTATATATTAAATGCCACACTGTATGTTTCTAACATATTATTATTATTAAAAAATGTGTGAATATCAGTTTTAGAATAGTTTCTCTGGTGGATGCAATGATGTTTCTGAAACTGCTATGTACAACCTACCCTGTGTATAACATTTCGTACAATATTATTGTTTTACTTTTCAGCAAATATGAAAAAAAAGTGTTTTATTTCATGGGAGTAAAATATACTGCATACACATTGGTCTGGATTCTTTCTGCCCCTCCTCTGTCGCCTGGCCAGGGTTTCTCAGTCACTGCCTACTAAACTAGTTCCCTCTGCCTGCTTAGTCAAGGATGCAAGGCAGGAGCACTTATTTAAATTTGGTAGAAATAAATTATAATCATCCATCAGAAACAACAAAAAAGCACACCCAGAAAAAAAAAAAAAAGAACTGCAAAGTCTGATCTTGTCTCTCCCAGATTTGTATTTGGCTTAAACCCCTGAGGATTCCATTATTGCTAGAAAAAATATTTTTTTATTAATTCACCAGGCGAAAGAAATGTAGACATTACACCAGCTTGGAATTTCTCATTGACTCCTGGGGGAGAGGGGTGGGATACCTATGCCTCCAGGAAATTGTTCTGGAGAAGTATATGTGTATGTCTACCTGTACAGTTTATATACATTCCTCTCAAGAGGAATATATCTGTATGTTTCTTAGGAAACACCGCCAGTTCAAAATATTTAGGCCTCCACGTTTATCTTTCAGGCTTAAGTAGAGAGATTCTTCATGTTCTATTGCATTACTATTTCCCAATCCTTTAGAGACATTAAAAGAAACAAAGACAGGTTCTAATAACCACAGCCCCTTGGTTTCTCAAAGAGCCCAGGGGTTGAGAGGTTAGAGTGGAGTTTCCTGAGTCTTGTCGAGCAATATGTAGTTGAGACAAAGGTCACGCTCCCCGTGTTTTGTTTTAAATAATATTGACCCATTAATTCTAAACCTGCTTGTTCCTGAAATTATACAGGATTATAGTTTGCAAACTGCAGGACAATGATTCAAATCAAGATGAATTACAGCCCTCGCCTCCCCTCCCATCCTCTGACTTCTGAAGGGGGAAGGAGGGTCTGTGTGTGAGTGTTTGAAAGAACTTGAAACAACTCCTCCTTCCTTTGTCGGTGGTTTTCAGCCTCTCTCTCTCTCCTCTCTCTCTCTCTCTCTCTCTCTCTCTCTCTCTCTCATGTGGAATTTGATTTAGTAGCAAATAGTAGCAACTACAACTTAGTTCGGAAGAACTCATCACCACGGTGCTGGGGGGGGGGGCGGGGGGAGAAAAGGAGTTCGGTCAGAACGCCTCGCACCCCCAAGTGGGCGAGAACAAACACCATCAGGGGGAACGAAGAGGGGGGGGGGCGAAAAGAAGCCCCCGGTTTGGAGGAGCAAGAGAAAACCCTGTGTTTTTTGCGCTTAGGTTTCTTTTATCTCCAACTTTACCTATCAGCTTTGGAAGCGCAGACACTGAGTCTTTGTTCTGCAAGGAACTGCTGGCTGCTGCTGCCTTTTGAAGAGATCGCAGGTAGCGTCCTCGATGTAAGGCCGGTGCTCAATGCACATTAACCTCCTTTCCTTTTTAAGCTCTGCCCCCAGCCCCGCGGAGGGATCACGCGGCGGTGGGGGGCAGATAAAAGCCCTTTGAACGAGGGTCACCCCTGTCCTTGTTGTTCACTCGAGAGCACTGGAGAGGAAAGCGGTCCCCACCGGCGGACTTTGGCTTGTGCAGCGGCGGCGGGGCCCACGGTGCGGGCGCCCCGGGCTCGGCCTGGCGTGGGGGAGGGGGTCGGGGGAGGGGCGGCGGGGCCCGGGACAGGGATTTGGGTTCGGGGAAGCGGGGCTGGAAGCGCTAATGAGACCCGCTGGGCGGACGTGCGTCTCCTGCTGGTGCTGCAGGAGCTTGGGAGCGCTGGCTACAAGGAGGTGGATCTCGGCCTAGTTTGCTCGCCCCGAAGTAAAACTTTATTTCGAGGGAATCCATCCATCTGCGGGGGACAAACAAACAAACAAAGGGAAGTCGAGGTTGGGGAAGAAGTTGTCGCAGTCTCGGCTGCATCGGTGCGGGCTGGAGGGCGGAGACTCGGCCCCGCGGGGGAGCCCTCTCCCTCTTCAGCTCCTTTCCCTGGACTTTGCAGAAGCAAGAATGGTCCTCCTCACCCCGTCCCCGCCCGCCCGCCCCTCTCCCCGGGCCGAGAGGAGAGCCTGGCTCCCCACCGCCGGAGGGGGTCCCCTCGCTCCTCCCACTCGCTCCCCAGTCCTCCCTCCAGCCAGCACCACTGCCACCGGCTCGGTTCCACTCAATCGATTTTTGCTGCATGTCAACACTTATTACCGGTGAGTGTAAGGGTGATTTCTCCCCTTCTCCAGGTCTCTTAATGATTTCTGAGCTAGTTGTGTATTAAAGCGCTTAAATGAATCTGTAGGTAATCTATAGCATGAGCACCGACCTCCTCCGCTGGAGACCCGAGGTGGTGAGCCTGAGGCCGCGCGCGGGGAGCCCGGGCCCCGCTGGCCTCCGCCCCCCGCCGCCACCTCCGAGCGCCCGAGCCTGGGGCTGGGGCTGGGGCTGGGGCCGGGGCCGGGGCAGGAGTCCGCCAGACGAGTCTCGGGCCGAGGCCTAGGGGCTTCTTTCTCCCCCCACCTGTGACTCTCTCACCCTTTCTCAGGCCCGTCCTTGGTTTTCAAACATGTCTAAGGCCCCACACGCTTCCTTCCCCTGATTCACATCGGCGGAGACCTGGGGGAAAGATGCACCGAGCTCACATCTGTCTCTATCGCCTCCCAATTCCTAAATCCGAGTTTACTGCCCACACTTGGGTAGACATTTAATTAAAAAACAAAAAAAAGTTGGTTAGCCTGGGCCGAGCGGCTGGCTTGATGAAGAGGCAAGTCCTCCCCTTTGCCTCCATGCCCTGCATTTCTGCCCTGCATTTCTGTCTCTCTTCCCCCCACTCCCCCCCCCCACACACACACACACACGCACACTCCTCCCACCCCTTTCCTGAGAGGTGCTGATACCCGGGGCTCCCTGTAGGAGTGTAACAACAATCACAAAATTAATGGGGCAAAATAAAGAGCGTCTTAAAAGTCCCAATACTCCTCGAAAGCCCCATAAATTAACCCTGTAAAGAGGGCGAGCTTTTTTAAGGCCAGCCTATAAAAACCCAGCCCGATCTGCCAGGAGGACACTCTCCTCCTCCCCCTCCAACCCCTCGCTGCCGTCTCCCGAATGTGCCCAAACAAAGATCTGCCCCGCAATCCACATCCTAATCCACCGTGCCCTCGTCGCCGTGGGGAGCCCCCTCAGCCTCTGGTGGCCCACAGTGTAGCAGGCAGCCCGAGGAGTGCCCAGATTTGGGGGCGGGAGGGTGTAATCAGATCAGAGGTCTTTATGAATATAGAGTCCCTCCTGATTGACACCAAACCCGCCGCCGCCGGCTGCAGTGGATCTGAGCACGCAGGGAAGCAGAGACCTGGCTGGCGGAGGGCGGCCAGGTCTCCAAATCAACAGGGAATATTTCTTGTTACAGATTTTTTTTTTTTTTCAGAAAGAATTGTGTGGAAAGCTATTCTCTCTCTCCGCAGCCCTCCTAAGCTGAGGATTGCATTTTAACCTAAACTTGAGAAAATAATCATTGAAGGCAAGATTGAAAGTAAAACACAAAACACAACAGTGGGTTAAGTGGAAACCGGGTTGTAAATACACAGCTAATTTACCCTTTCTGGTTTCAGCAGAAGAAACCAGGGAAATTTTTACTGTAATCTGAACAGTTTATCATACTTGTCCCGCCCCCTCCCCCCTCTCATCCTCGCCTTTCCCTCTGAAAAGACAGAAACCAGAATTTATTCTGGGATGCACTACTGTGCTAAGTATTTTATGTAAATGTTGATTTTAGATTTTGTTTGCAGATTACAGAAGGCCTGCAAGAAATAAAATATCCTATTGAAGATATACTTAATTCTAGTTAATTACCTTTTTTTAAAAAAAAAATTGTTGCTATTTTTGTAAAAAAGGCTGTGATAACAGTTCAGTAGCAGCTGGGGAAAACAGAATTTGAGGCTTAAGTTACTCAGTCAAAGCATGGCTCAAAGAACCATCTAAGTTCTTGCTAAAAAAAAACACACACCAAAATGTTTAATGAATATATAGTAAAGGTGTTTACTCTGGGGGGATTGTGTGGGGAAATTGCAATGTTTCAATTCTCTCAGAAGGGCTAAGAGAAACTCAGACTAGACTCCCTGGGCCTTCCCCCAGCAGGGCGTGTCTACCCTCCCTGACTTTGATGGATCTTCCCAGATTTAGTTCTCTTACTCTTCGCCCCTTCTCTCCCTGACTCTTCCTCCATCTTCTCCCTGTACCATTTTCTTTATTCACACCAAAGCTGTCCACCCCTTCATCCTACCCCCCTTCTATTGGCTTTGAAAATGGCCCAGCCTGCTGCTGCTGGGACCTGATGCACCCTCTCCTCCTCCCCCTCCTCCTCCTCCTCCT